TCAAGTGATACTGGCAGTTAGTTGATCTTCTTTACAGTTTTTATAAATTGGTACCTAGTTTATGTTAACTTTTCTAAACTGTTTAGCTGATGGTGAAACAAATGGCAGATGTTAAAAGCTGACTAAAGAACCATGTATCCAGTGGAAACACAAAGAAATTGTAGCCAAGCTTAGCTTAGTTTATGCGGTGTCGCTAGAAACATGGGTTAAATGTGTTCATCTGTGCTGTAAAGATTTGGCCTTAAGATCATGATAAATCTCACCCATCAAAGCGGGTGAGTTTCAGTGGTACGGCATAATATAATTCAAGCAATTGTTCACTGAAGTTTATTGCTTTTAATAAAAAATCTTATTATATACATTTATTGGTTGTTCTTGGCTCCCTTCCTATAACAACAAAATATCATGGGAGACATTACTTGGAATCTGCACAACCATCAGCTACTTCAACTAAGCAGACTAATTTGATCATAGCTAAAATCACCTAATGCAGACATGTCAAACTGAAAGTGGAACGTAACTGTATCTGAGCACCACAAACCAAGAATGCTATTTATTTCATTATTAATATTCTAAGCAAATTCCCCCATCCTTCCATGTCCTCATGCTTTATTTTGTTGCAAAACCCACCTTAAAAAGCATCCCTCTAGCATTTTTACCCATGGCCATCTTGATTAAGGGCAGTGGATTCATGTAGCATTTGCTTTATAGAATCTATCTGTCCTTAGCTCAGGCATACAGACGGGAGGGTGTGCTTAGCTGAGAGAGCCACTCCTCCCCTCCTCCTGAAAGAAAAAAATACCCATGAAGACTTCTGGAATGAATTATATAATTTTGGCCTAGGCAAGAACCCAGGAGGCAACTGAAGAAAGGTAAATAAAAAATTTTAGAACAAGTAAATATAATACACAGTATCTTCCTATCTATTTGCTAATGCTGACAGCATAATGATTAAAAATAGTTCATGTTGACTGAGAGAGTATAGTTCCACTTGAAGTAAAATGCGGGGCTGAATTCAATAAATCTACAAAGTACCACAGTAGATCTAGTGAGAGCTATACCTACCTAATTCCAAAAAGCACTAAAGCACTATAATATAATAATGTAACATAACATTACAAGAATAAACTGTAATATATTTCAATACATATATGTTCTGCCCATATTGTTGAAAATAAATGTATGTAATGGGCTGTAATGGATCATACTGCAATGTTATGTGATGTTGCTGCCATCTAGTGGTCAGAGTTAGTTATTATTATGCCTGGTTATATGGTAATTTTCACTTAGAGACAGTAACCTTTAACCTGGAACTTCCTATCCTCCATTTTGTGACTGCTTCTGGATCTAGCAAGCAGCATACAGTGGAGCTCTGAGCTATTCCTCGACTTATGATGGAATTGTCCATGAGTACACTCACTGATGGGATGAAGCTGTTGTATAATGTTTAATGTACTGACACATATGTTTTGTTTGTGTTTATGTTGTAGTTTTACAAAGTTATTCAGAACAAAGAATACATACAGATCTGATGTCTCACGTTTCTTGACTTCTGAATTATTGTTAGACTGTCTGACTAGTGTTATACAACAGTTCAATACCGCGAAGCAGAACAATATATAATAATATTTTATCCATGCTAAAGGCACAAACAATATATCCTCTGATGTGAAGAGGGGATTGTGTGATTGGAATGCTGTGTGATGGGGGGGGGGGGGAACTATATGATTGGGAGGCTCTGTGATGAGGGACTTTGTAATTGGGGAGCTCTATGATAGGTAAGGCTGTGTGATTGGGAGGCTCTATGATGGGATTACTGTGTGATTTGGGGGCTATATGATCTGGGGAATTTATGAAGGGGGACTGTCAGGAATGGACTTGCCAACAATGGTGGGACTCACCTGCCTTGTGGGCTGCAGTACCAGGGCTGGCCAGCAGGTGCTCTCAGCAATCAAGAGACTCAACCCTGCAGTCAGCCAAACACCTGAGGCTGATTGCAGGTGTATTTAAGGGATGGCCAGACCTGCAATCTGTGCCTTGGTGTGTGTTTTTTTCCATGGGCCCCTGTATCTTGTTACCTGCATTCCTGTTCCTGTTCCTGTCTGACTGATTTGTTGCCGACCCTGCCTAATCCGGACCTCTGCTGACTTCTCCTGCTTGATCCCTGGCTTGTGACCCTGACCATTCTCTGCCTGACCCCCTGTACCTACCTGCCCGTTAGTTGCTGTACCCGGCTCGTGACCTGACTACTCTCTACCTGCTCCTCCTGTTCCTACCTGCCTGATTGTTATTGACCCGGCCTGCCTGACTACGCTTGCATTGTATGTATTGTTATCTGTGGGTGGTTTGGTTTGGTTCGTTTTGCACTGTGTTATGTTTTAGTATTGCACTGCGTTTATGTATTGTTAGTATTAATAAATTATATTGTTTATAACATATCTGAAGCCTGCGTTTCCCTGTGTCAGTTCACATACCTCTGGTCATACCCGGAGCCCTGACAGGGACTGTGTGATTGGGGGCTCTTTGATGGGGGCACTCTGTGGCGATGTGATGGGAAAACTCTCATGTGATGAAGGACTCATGTATAGGAAGCTTCTGGTGTATAGGGTCGACTCTGACATGAAAGAGTGACTGATGTGAAGATGGGACTTTGATGTGACGGAGGAACTTTGACATGCCTACATACATGTATAGTTTTATGATTTATAGTTCATTTTTGAGGAGGGGAAAAGTTAAGGACAATAAACTCAATTTGCAAAGCTAATACACTAGGATAAATATACTTATTTTCAAAAAGTCACAGTTATTTTCAAGGAGAATTGAAAATTACAGTTACATTGCCAAAATAAACATCCTTATCTTTATCTCAAAGCAGTTTGAAAGGCTTAAGGGTTTTGTTTGTTTTAATGCATTCTCTGCAATAAAGTAAAAACCTTTTATGCCACAGGATCCCTCCAGCCCTCCCCTTATACTTACCTGAGCCTGATCTTGATCCAAGGCTGTGCCCAAGAGCAGCAGCTCTCTCTGCTTTAATTTTTTTTTCCCACAGGACAGAGAGGCAGCCGTGGGAGCCATTGGCTCCTGCTGCAGTCAATTAAATCCCATGATGAGGAAGCACGGGGAGGAGGTGGGGTTGAGCCTTGCTGTCTGTATTTATAGATGCCCCCATAGAAAATGGCTTCCTTTGGGGGCACTTGACTAGCCAGGAGAGCCGGTGGGGGACCCCAGAATTGGAGGTTCAGGCTGCTCTGTGCAAAACTAATTGCACTGAGCAAGAAAGTATGACATATTTATTATTTTGTTTAAATTTTTTGAAAATGAAACTTTAGAATCACTTTAGAGCTTTGTGATTGGAGCCTAATATGCAGAAAAATTAAAGTGTACCTTTAGCCAAAACTTCTTTTTTTTTAGTCTTTGGAGAAGACTTACCTTAAACTGATCTCGACCCACCATGTGCACAAAAGCATTGTCTCCGGGCCTCTCCCTCCTTATTGGCTTAGACACAGCAGCTGTCAATCACAGCTAGTGATGAGTAAGCGGGGCTGAGCCGCACTCTGTGTGTCTTATGGACATACAGGTCAGTTTCGGAGCAATGGGGACACTCAGCAGGGGGGAGGGGACACGAGCACCAGCAGGGGTCCCGAGAATAGGAGGACCGGGGCTGCTCTGTGCAAAATCATTGCACATAGCAGGTAAGTATAACATGTTTGGTATTTTTTTTACATTTGTACCTTTACAATGTGTACCTTTGCAAGTACGAAACAGACAGCTATACAACCTGAAATGGGTTTTAACTATTCCCCACTCTATCTTAAATTTGGGAAGAAAATGGCTGGAGATACACTTCAAATATAGGAAGACAATATCAAAGCAGTGATCAGTTTTGAAGAATTTCTGATCCTCTGTAGTATTTACATACAGGTTTGTCTGATTTGCAGGTGTTCATGCAGTTCAGAAATCTTTACAAATGTAACCCATGAGCTGTTTTATTCCCTGCTTGACTGGCAAAATGGGGCATGTATATATTTAGATTTATTTAGGTTAATGCCTGATTACTGAATTGATTCGCTCATCTCTTACAAGTTTTCAAGTTACAGTCTAATCAAATGTTGAACAGTTTTTTATAAGGATATTTTTTCTATCCCTAAAGGCAATGAATATTGGACTTGAACATATTTTATTTCTTTATTATGGTCAGGATTAAAAAAAGATGCAGATGTTGTACTATCATTTAAGAATGTTTTGGTAAATATAGACCGATACGCTTGACTTTTGTTGTATGTAAATTAATTGACTAAAAGGATTTTTAGAGTAAAAACAACTATGTGGGCAGTAAAAATGGCAAATTAAAATTTAAAGTTAAATTCCAGACAAAAAACAACAAAGCAAAAAAAAGGTTCTATGCATAGAAGATGTCTTTGCTTACCAGTTTAGAAGTGTTGGCGATTTGTTCCCTTTCAGTGCTTAAAATTGATATCAACTGGGAACAGCAGATCCGTAATATGCCTTCCCACCATCTCTCTCCATTTTCTCCCTGCCATCTCCCATTTGGCAGTAATGGAGTTGGGAGAAGCACAGCTGCAAGTGGCATGTTGGAAGATGTAGTGTGGAGGAGGGAGGCAGTGTTATGTTGGAGTAGCAAAGAGACTACAAGTTCCATGAGGCAAGAGGAGGAGGAGCAAAGGGATTCATAGTGGCCTACTCGGGAATATTTGGAGCAGTTGGCAGTAGGATGAAGGAAAAAGCGGACCTCTATGACAGTGAGTCCAGTTATCTGGCGTAGCAGTCAGAGGTACAGCCTTGTCTGCTATGTGGCTGCTTGGTGCTAACATGGAGAAAGTTAGTGAGCCTGTTTGTTATCACACTCACCTACAGTGCAGCTCTTTGAGGGGCCCCTCCTGCAACTAACACTGTGAAGCCGGACTGGTGAGAAGGGCCTTTCACTTCTGTGTGGCAGGAGTCTCTTAGAAACCAAACACTCCATATGTACTAAATTCAGGGCTTGAAATTTCCACTCGCCTGCTCGCCAATGGCTAGTGGAATTTATGGTGGGGGCGAGTGTGTCCCCCAGGGCCGTCTTGCTGAGCAGGCTCGGAGCTCAGGCTGGATCTGTCATTGGCACTGGGAGCCGTCAGACTGCTCAATAGCTGAGCGCAGTGAAAGCAAAGCAAGGAGTGTGGGCTGTGCTCTCTGCCTCCCCCTAGAGTGCAGTACCCGGATCTGTGAGTGAACAACAAAGTACTGCAACTTTTTATGGGTGTGTGTATGTGTACGTGTGTGTGTATGCATGTACAATTGTACATGTGTCTATGTGTATGTACGTGTGTATCTGTACATGTGTCTGTGTGTGTGTGTGTGTGTACATGTGTCTGTGTGTGTGCATGTATGTGTGTGTGCGTACATGTGTCTGTTTGTACATGTGTCTGTGTATGTATGTACATGTGTCTGTGTGTATGTACATGTGTCTGTGCGTGTGTATTTCTGTGTATGTACATGTATTTGTGCGTATGCATGTCTGTATGTGCCTGTGTGTGTATACATGTGTCTGTGCGCATGTGTGTACATGTGTCTCTGTGTGTGTGTACATGTTTCTGTGTGTGTGTGTATGTACATGTCTGTGTGTGTGTGTGTACAGGTATCTCTGTTTGTGTGTGTTTCTTGGTGGTAACTCTAAGGCCTGGCTAGTAGCTCAGGACTTGAAGTTTTAAGCCCTGTACTATTACAATCCCAGAAATTAGGCTGAGATAAAACTTCACTTTATCTTCAGATCCAAGATAACCTTGCTTTCTTTTACTGCATGTTCAGAACTTTACTACACCTTCACTGGACTTCAGATTTATCATATATTTCCCTGAAGTGCATCAACGTCATCGAGCCCCAGTGATATCTGGCAGAACAAAACAATTTTAAAGGACTACTCATCTTTCTTTTTCTGTCCGTTTATCTTTTCCTTTGCCGTATCTTTGGCCAGTTTGGCTTGTGGGGTTCTCCAAGCAGACTTGGGCCTAGCACAGCCACTCTAATGTTTTTGTAGCAGTATTGTTCTAGGGCTTTAGACATATCTATCTATCACTGCTAGCGTGCTACATGTTGGGTACTGGGGCTACTGTTTAAATTGACTTGAGGGATAAAGAAATTAGACCCCGGGGAACCATATGCTGCCAAGTATATATGTATATATATTGTTATCTGCAACAGTGTATTCTAATTGCTCTTCTCTTTTTCTGTAATTTATATAACCAGTATTAGATCTTAATATATACAAGGTTCATACCATTGACTGCATTAGTGTCTATTCTTCTAGGCAACATCATTGCCAAAACATTGAGGTGTTGTGACAGAATTAATTGCAAAATTCTGAGTTTGTGTACTCATCCGGGTGTGTCAGAGAGGCTGAGGGTTCAAAAGAGGTCAAAGCCAGTGTCAGAGGACCCATCCAACTCAGCGGCTCCTACAGGGTAGCACTACACTTGTAAAGAAGGGTTTTCATGCAAATGCTGTTGTAAAAGTCATTATTTCAGCCCATGAAATTGCTTTCCAGATTTCTTCAGGCCATGCTGACGTCAAAATATCAATGCTGTCCTGTGAAATGGTTTCACAGGACAGCATTGATGTTGTGAGCCCCACCCTCACAACACTATAACTACCATATTCTTAAGGTCTTCAGGGCACATGTAGGGCAACATAAAGGTAGAAAAAAAACTCTGCACACCTCCACGATATCCTGACAACCTCAAAAACTTTGTGTTCATGGCCATCCCCTCTGGTGTGTAATGTTGATTGACAACACAGCTTACTGTACATACAGCAAAATAAGAGAAGCTCTAATTGCATCATGATGCCTGATCCTTTTTTTTTTTTTACGTGTTCAGACCTACTCAACTATGACATGCTGAGGACTGGAGACAAAGTGGCCACAAATCTCCTTACTTTTTGAATTATATCACATATACTTGACTGTTTAAGGCATGGTAAGTTTCTAAAAAGCAAGTTTTTCACAAGAAAGTTTGCTCTTCTATTTCTGCAGCTACATCTAAAAGCTTTTCAACAATAAAGAGCTGTAAAGGTAGATACATTTCCAGGAGAAGAATGAAGTGGAAGAAGAAGGAGTCTCTAGACTTGAAAGAACCTGCGCTGTTTATTAATGCAAGAATATGTTAAATGTGTTTTAGAAGTTCCATATAAATTATTGGGACATTTTCCTGTAATTTTTATAATATACAGATATGTCAGTAGAAAGTATTTGTGAGCTTTCCAAGAACTCTTTATGACTCGCTCAAGCTTTCTTTAATCTTCAGCTATCATTTCCATAAAACATTCTGGCCGAATAAGTACTCTGCATGTTATTCTACAGCTTACTTCCAGTTTAGGGTGGCAGACACAGGCTGTTTTCAGCACTTTTAATGCTAAATATTACAATCTTCTGAGTTTATTCTCCTGACTCATGAGTTTCATAGGCACTCTTTATATTTGTGTTGTGTCTCCGTGCAACAAATATTGAAAACAAATACATGAATTAATTGCATGGAGGCATAATGGGGGGTGGCACTGAGGCCAGAATGCCCATATTGGATACTTCATCCTCAGTATATGTTCAGCCCCTGGGATGCACAGCCATCCTTGGTTGCTATGATGCTGTCGGCTCTAAGTGAGTAATGCTATTGAATGTGCAGCTGACAGTGTCATAGCAACCAATTATGCATTCCCAGCTCCATTGTCAGGGCAGGGTCACGCACTGACTGACGACAACCACCACCCACAGACCGAAGTCCCTCAGGGCGCGGAGTCTAAGTCCCAGGCTGCCCTTCACCAGGGCCCCTGATGGTAGGGATGGACTTGACGCAGCCAGGAACCAGGTCGCGGCCCCTGAGACACCCCAGCTGCGGTAATGGCCGCCGCCAATGGCGTGTAGCTGGTAGGGACCAGATAGACAAAGAGTAGTCGGGCAGGCCGGGTCGATAACAACGGGACAAACGGTACAGAACGGTAGACAAGAATAACAGGTCACAGGCTGGGTTCAGCAACGGAAGGTCAGATCAATGGAAAACGCAGAGAATGGTCAGTCAAAAGCCGAGTCAGATTCCAGGAGAGCCACGAGAGTATAAACAGAGCTATAGTCACACTAACACACAAGACACGAATGCAAAGGGCACGTGCAGACAACAGGCTTATATGTGATCAACCACACCCCTCTGGGGGATGGACCGCAGAGGCCTGAAGGCATAAAAGACTCCCACCATGCTCTGCAGAATTCCAAGATGGATGCAGCATAACCTCTGGGAAAAGGTAGGACCTTGACATCCATTCAACCACAGGCTGGGAAATTCCTGTCATATTTGGGTAATGCCGGCAGTCAATTCCCCTTTGTTTACATTCAGCTTTAAGATGGAGAATATTCTCAGCTGAATGAGGCTGGGTATGTGTCATTGGTTGCTAGTCCTGTGCTGGAAGCTGTCATAGTCATGATAGCACTCTGAACACTGGCATATCTCTGTGCACCACCTTGTAGTTTGACTTAATTACCACCAGTTAACCATACAGTGATTGTTTTTGAATTTGTCGCAGTCTTAAGCAGGCCATACATGCATCAAAATTTAGCATACTGATCGACTGCTGTGCAACCATCCTGCCAGATTTTCCACACTTGATCAGCACCGCCAGCTATAGCTGGCGGTGCTGATCAGTGTATTCAGACAGCGGGGAAGCTTCTCCGCTGTATCAGCATATAATGTGTCAGAATAAAATAGCTCAGTGGGGAGGATTCTCCATCCACATCAAGTATGTGGATGGGGGAAACAAGACTTTTTTTTACTCATCTATGGACTGCCATAGTAGCAGATTCTTAGAGTGGTGCAAGTAAAAACTACCTGAATCTATCTAAAATGACTGAACCAGAAAATTGTACTACAGATCTTAAGCTACTCTGCTTTTATGGGTGCTTTTTCAGCTAAATGTGACATGGCAAAGGAAAAGAAGAGATGCACATTACGTTTTTGAATAAAATATAGGTAAACTCAGTCATTAAAATCTCAAAACAACTTCAACATGTTAATGTATTTTAAAAGACTTTTTCAATATTTGTAATTCTGCTTTTCCAAACATGTTACCTGGTGATCCTGTAATGAGGGTCCTTGTGTAGGCTGTTCCTCTTAAAGGGTCACACCTACCTTTCTCTGTCTCCCAGTTGTTTTCAACTTTTTGGTGGAGATTAAAAGTGTCTATTTTAGCACACATTATGCAGGCATGTTTCATTGTTAGTACCATAACGAAAACTTACTTTGAGAAGTGCATGCAGCCATTGCTGGACTGCATCTATGTCCTAAGAAAGTGGCTGCTAAAAGTGATAGCACACAGCTTACTTCATTCTTTATAGGTGAAAATGAAGCAAAGAGATCACAATGGAAGAACATGTTGCTTTGCCATTATAGAGGTAGATTTTCATTATGGGTTTCAGGTTTTATAAAGGTGCACATTAACATTACATGATAGTCTCCTAATTGGCCAGATTGGGAGACAAACTCTTGCTGAGTTGAAGAATAAACAGGTTTGATATGTTTAACCACTACTTGTACTGCAAGCGAGTGGCACAGGCAGGCCAGAAACTGAACTTAAGGGTTTGGAGCGTGCCCCTGCCCAACTCTCGCTGTGATTGGACATAGCACGAGTTTGGCAGCTGATTTCAGCCAATGATCGGCTGTGTCCAATCACAAACAGAGTTCTGTGTTTACAAAACACAGAAATCTATGTTCAGAGAACAGCGATCTGGCTGTCTATTCTGTCTGAAAAGCAGGGAGAATATACAGCCATGCAGTAAAATAAAAGCAGCACATATTACACACATTGCTCATTATTAGGCAAACACTTAACCCCTTGATTGTCCCTAGATGTTAACCCCTTCCCAGCCAGTGTCATTAGTAGAGTGAAAGTGTACTGTATTAGCACTGTTTTAGTATCACAGTTGATGTCAGTTAGTTACTGCAGGGGTTAAAATTCTAGTCCAGACCTACTAGCTAGGCACAAACCTTACTCGTGTCCCCCAAGGCGGTGTAGAGCGGGCCTCGTGTCCCCCAAGGCGATATAGAGCGGGCCTCGTGTCCCTCAAGGCGGTGCAGAGCGGGCCTCGTGTCCCCCAAGGCAGTGGAGAGTGGGCCTCGTGTCCCCCAAGGCAGTGAAGAGCGGGCCTTGTGTCCCCCAAGGAGGTGTAGAGAGGGCCTCGTGTCCCCCAAGGCGGTGGAGAGCAGGCCTCGTGTCTCCCAAGGCTGTTGAGAGCGGGTCTCGTATCCCCCACAGCAGTGGAGAGAGGACCTCGAGTCCCCCACGGCGGTGGAGAGGGTGTCTCCTCTCAGCGTAGGAGAGCAGACCTCTCTTGCACGTGTCCCCTCAGCCACTGTATTGGTGATGCCGTGGAAACCGGAAGTTGTAAACCGGAACTCGGCTTCACAATGAGGCTTGGAGCGCATGTGCAGTCACTCATGCTTCTTCATCTGTGCTCGCCGCTCGCAGCCACTCGCCACAGAGGAATTTCTCCTCGCATTTGGTGAGCGGGTGAGCGGCTTTTTCAAGTTCTGAGTTAGTGTAACTTCCAGCCAGCATCAGCTAGTGCCAGATTGCCTGTGACGCTATCACGTTCCCACTGTTATACTTCCACAAGTCGCTGATCGCC